TTTATTTGTGTGTTTTGCATAATAATAGGAGGATGATTTATAAGTCTGTTTGTTTTACGCGATATTAATAATCATTCTGTTTTTAGGGGATTGAATTTTTAGCATCTTTTCCATCTTTCGATATGAAAAGATTTTTCTCTTATGCCGTTTGAAATATTCAATATTCGTATAACGCTTAATCCATATTAATCCGCTGATATATTAAGAAAGTAACATATGGGTTAACATAAGATTAATACGCGAAAACCATGGAAACAATTCGACCGAGTTATGGACAATTGCTTTCAGCTAAATTAAATGAAAAATAGATCAACAAATATATTTACATATTGAATGAAGAAAAAGGGCAATTTTTACTCTCCATCAGCTTTTCTTTAAAGAAAGCGACCGATGTGTGACTAAGTAAACAATTTTGAATACATTGTATTTTCTTTAAAGATATATAATCCCTGCAGTGATGTTTAATTAGTTTCTATCGAAAATAAACATTTCTGTAATTTTGTGGGCTTGTATAGTAGGTTAAACATTTAAACGTTGCACGATATTTGAATATCATTACATTTCCATCTTCAACGAACAAACTACCTGAGATAATACAAACAAATACAATAAACTTGAACAACCCAATAGACTAACAATTTTATCTTACATTTTTATAGTATTCGATGGAAATCGCTTTTTTCGTTCATGCTGATATGAAAATTTATCGTTAAACGACGACAAATATTTGAAATGTGGAAAGAAAATTGTTAGTATTGTGTAAAATTTTACGTTCAGTATAGCTATTTTCTTTTTAGTTTTGTTTTCTATAAACGTCATTAAAGATGCATTTTAAGTCTAAATGACACAAAAGTAAGGAGTCAAAGTTAGACAGTTCCATGGAAGCTCGACTTGTCCATTTACGAAATTCATCATGGAAGGTTTTAAAGCATATTTTCAAATAAATGAAACTGAATAGATAAATAAGAATAGAAAATAAATCTTTGATTTTTTTATTTGTTTTTACCTCATTATTATATCGTACACTTTTATTTCATTTTATGGATCAATAAATGTCATGTACTGTACCGCTATTACGTCAGTCTGTAACACGTGTCTCGCATTTTACCGCATTTTACCTTATAATACGCATTTTGCAGTTGCTTTCGACCCGTACTCTGTCAATCAGTAACACATGTTTTCAATTTTTATCGGTTATTGCAAACTACCGCCGGCTAAAGCAGAATTCAACATTTAACATTAACTGGTAATTTTTTGAATATTGAAATATCTGCCTTTTAAACCTAGATTCTTCGAATGAGCGTGCAGATTACCGCTGATTGCCAGTAAAACGCATATGACGTGTTACCCGTAGGAGTCTTGCGGCTCGATGAAAAGCTGTTAGAATTTTAAATTTCTATTTAAATTGAACTTTCATGAATAAATTTATTTGGAATAACAGTGTGAGTACCTTTTATCTGATCTGCCTGATGCACTCTCCCCCGGAAGTCGGTAAACCTTTCGTGTTGCGCATTTACACTTTCTTCCGTCTCACATTAAAATCCCATCAAAAAAGTTCTTTTTCTACATCAAAAAAGTTCTTTATATAGTGAAAATATTTGCCCTAGAACTGGAGATAGAGGGGAGGTTGTTACTCCAGGTTATAAGTATTTTTCATTCATAAAACAAAGGGTAGAGCGTAAACTGGTTGGACATTTGGCGAACTAAATTTGATATTTAATTTGCACAGAAGCCAGGCAGCTGAATCCTAACATTGCTATGATGAATGAGCATATTCAAAATTTTCAAAATATATTACAAACCAATTTACCCGGAGAAAATACGGGCGGGCATTACTAGATAGCCATTTTGTCAAGTTTACAACAATTTTGTCAAGTTTACAACCATTTTGCTCCTTTAAACCAAGTGTTCAACCATTTAACGTCCTGTCTCTTGATAAAAATGTGATTTGAATAGAAATTTGTTTTGTCTTATTTCATAAATAAAACTTAACTGGTAATTAAGTGCGAAAGAAACCATAGTTAACAGTAATTTAAATAGATATAAATTAATAACCCTTAAAGAATGCATAGAACGACAAAATTGTAAATGTTGCAGGGTCGGTTTGATTGAGCCTGTTGATGGGCGGTAATGGAAAGTGCAAGTTACCGCCCACGGCCCTAGCACCGGCTTAAGCAGAATTCAACATTTAATGATGTTAATTGTGACATTTTGAATTTAGAAACATCCGCACATGTGTTCATACAGCGGTTATTATGGAATATTCAATGTGACACGCAAGTGCCATTCCATGAAAAGGGGCGTTTGTCCCCCCAAAAAAAGAATGCGTGTGCCCTGAACGAGAAAACAATGGGCGGAACTAAATAAAATGGAATTTTGAAATGGGATAACAGGTCATGAAGCATGTGAGTCTGGTGGTAGGAATCTTTCAATACAATTATATAATCTAAATAATCCATTCACGTGCAATCTCTCTAAGACGTAGATATCAATTTTCTTGTCTTATTTTCTAGAAACAGACAATTGTATGTTGATAACAGCCATGGTTATGTGCTACTAGCTAGATCCAGAATCAGTTGATGTGTGAAAGGAATTTTCGCAGACATATTGCTATTATTTAGATATCGATCTTTTTCATAAATGAAGATATGAACAACCTGACAGTCGGAATTGTTTTGACAGGACGCTATCGTTTCATGAAGTGTGAAGAATGTACTGTTTTAATTTTTTTGATTAACAGTCTTTCCGTACCGTGCAAAACGAACCAATAACTGCCCTGATTATTAAAATACATGTAATTGAGTTGCCATTTTCCTCTTGTTTACAATGAATCTTTAGTGGTTGAGAAGACTTCATTTTATATGCCCGAAAGAATTTCGGGCATATTATGTTATACCCCCTGGCGTCCGTCTGTCCGTCCGTCTGTCCGTTAGCAATTTGGTTTCCGGAGCATAACTTAAGTTCCATTCGGCCCATATCTTTCAAACTTCATAGGATGATTGTCCATATTGGGTTGAGGACCCCTATTGATTTTGGAGTTACAAGGTCAAAGGTCACGGTCACTATTACCTTTAAATTGAAAACAGTTTCCTGAGCATAACTTAAGTTTCATTTTGCCCTCAATATTCAAACTTCACAGATGATTGTTAATATTGGGTAGAAGACCTCTAAGTTCCATTTGGCCCACAATTGTCAAACTTCATAGGATGATTGTCCATATTGGTTAAAAGATCCCTATTGATTTTAGGGTCAAAGGGTCAAAGGGCAAGGTCTTTATTACCTTAAAACTGAAAACAGTTTCCGGAGCATAAAATTTAAACTTCATAGGATGAGTGCCCATATTGGGTAGAAGACCCAAATTGATTTTGGGTCACAAGGTCAAAGGTCAAGTTCACTATTACCTTAAACTGAAAACAGTTTACGCTAAATTACTACAGTACGATTTGGCCCACAATATTCAAACTTCATAGGATGATTGCCCATATCGGGTAGAAGACCCCTATTGATTTTGGGGTTACAAGGTCAAAGATCAAGGTCACTATAATCTTTAAACTGAAAACAGTTTCCGCTCAATAACTTAAGTATTTATCAACCTACAGCTGTAAAATTTTATAGGATGAACAACCAAGTCCAATACATGGACCTTATTGATTTTAGGGTCATAAGGTCAAAGGTCTGGCCACATTGATCAGAACACTGAAAATTATGGTTTCTGGAGCATAATTTAAGTTCCAATTGGCCCATAGTGTTCAAACTTCATAGGATGATTGTCAAAATTGGGTAGAAGACCCCTATTGATTTTGGGGTCACAAGGTCAAAGGTAAATTCACTTTTACCTTCAACTGAAAACAGTTTCCGCTCAATAACTTTAGTATTAATCAAAGTACATTTGTAAAATTTTAAAGGATGAACAGCCATGTCCAATACATGACCTCTATTGATTTAAGGGTCATAAAGTCAAAGGTCAGGCCACAATGATCTTTACACTGAATAGTGTGGTTTCTGGAGCTTAACTTCAGTTCCATTTTGATCACAGTGTTCAAACTTCATAGGATGATTGTCCATAATGGTAGAAGACCACTATTGATTTTGGGGTCACGAGGTCAAAGGTCAAGTTCACTATTACCTTTAAACTGAAAACAGTTTCCGGAGCATTACTTAAGTTCCATTTGGCCCACAATATTCAAAGTTCATAGGATGATCGTCCATATTGGATAGAAGACCCCTATTGATTTTGAGGTCACAAGTTCATAGGTGAAGGTCACTATTGCCCTAAAACTTAAAACAGTTTACGCTCAATAACTTAAGTATTGATCAACCTACAGCTGTAGAATTTTATAGGATTTACAGCCATGTCCAAAACATGACCCCTATTTTAGGCTCAGAAGATCAAAGGTCAGGGTCACAATGAGCTTAACACTGAAAATTGATGTTTCTGGAGCATAACACACGCCCTCTAGCACCGGCTTTAACAATATTCATCATTTATACATGAAAATGGCGAAGTTTTGAATAGAGAAAAATCCGCAGATGTAAAACATTAAATGTGTTTTTTTTTCTAGATTGAGATATAAATATCTGGAAAAAGTGATCCATCGAAAGCATAAAAAACAGCAAAATTACATGAAAATTGCTGACTCGGTTTGATTGAGTCTGTACATTTATGTGGAACTTGTTTATATCGTATCTACTATCAGATCATAAAAAAAACTTATTTTGCATAATGAGTCTATTTAATGTATTTCATTTTTTTATTATTTCTTTTCTAAATGATATTTGTAAATAAAATTGATATATACACTGGATCTTTTTTGTATATTTTCATATTTCTGCTTCTATAGAAGATCTATTCTGATATAATCAGCATTACTTTAATAACTAGGAATTTTCCTTATGTACATGAACATATAATAAAAGAACAATATATTTTATTAATGCTTTATTTTGTAACGGTGTGTCGTCATCAATATTTATTTCGTCAATTCATTTTTCAGTTAGACTCTCGTGGACAGCAAACTTTCTCGTCATAGTCTGGTATAGTTTCGCACACGTATTTACTGCCACATCTTTGTTCATTATTATCACATGTCACTACGCCTTTACTGATTTTATTGCCTTTATACTTCGGAGGACCATAAGTGCACAAGACAGCTGTAAAGAAAATACATGTATTGCTATATTTGGTATGTGTGCCATCATAATATTACTTATGAAACTAATCCACATCATCATCATCATCAGCATCATCATCATCATCATCATCATCATCATCATAACCACCATCATCATCATCATCTTCATCACAGCCACCATCATCATCATCATCGTCGTCGTCATCAACATTATCATCATCATCATCGTCATCATAATCAGCGCCATCGTCATTATCGTCGTCGTCGTCGTCATCAACTTCATCATCATCATCAAAGTCGTAATACGTGCAGCGTCATTAGTTTATAATAATAATAATAATAATAATAATAATAATGATAATAATAATAATAATAATAATAATAATATAATAAATAAATAATCTGTTTAGGGGAAAAAATAAATGTAAGGAATAAAATTTTCTCCATTAAAAAAGAAGACAACAAAAAATAGTTCAATATGTAATAAATCATTGCAGTGGACATGCGTTTAATTAGACAGGGATCGAATTATTATGTATATAAAGTTAGTTCCCTATTCCTTTTTCGAATAAAGAATAGGGAACTAGTTCCTGATTCCTTATTCAAATCTTAATAAGATAAAATTAGGATTTATTTAAATTCAAATTATGGTTAATCCGAAAACTAGAACGGTTCTGTCTATCACAAATCTGTGGAAAATTGCACAAATCAATCATAAAAATCATAGAATAAAGTATCCGCATCGACATGTTTTTAAACAATATTCAACTCCGAATAAGGATTACGGAAGAAGATACACCAATAGAGACAGCAGTTGCAGTTATTTCTGATATATCTGCATAAGAATTGCAAGGATCAATCAGTAAAATCATTGCATAAAGCATCTGCATAAAATATTTTGAAAATATGTTAAAGTTGAGTAAGGAATAAGGAACCAGTTCCTTATTCCTTATTCAACTCCGGATAAGGAACAGAAGGAAAAACGCCAATATAGACAGCAGTTGCACTTATTTCTGACATATCTGCATAAGGATTGCAAGGATCAATTATTAAAATCATTGCAGATCCTTGCAATTCTAATGCAGGTTTATGAAAAGTAACTTCAACTGATGTCTTTCTTTACGTATTTTCTTTTGTTCCTTATTCGAAGTTGAATAAGGAATAAAGGACTGGTTCCCTATTCCTTATTCGACTTTAACATTTTTTTTTTCAAAATATTTTTATGTGGATGTTTTATGCAATGATTTCAATGATTGTTCCTTCCAATTCTAATGCAGGTTGATCAAAAAAAGCAGCAACTGGTGTCTTTCTTTACGTATTATCTTCTGTTCCTTAGTCGGAGTCGAATGAACTTGAACATTTTTTTTTCAAAATATTTTATACAGATGCTTTATTTAATGATTTTAATGACTACCTTCCAATTCTAATTCAGGTTAATTAAAAATAACTGCAACTGATGTCTTTCCTTACGTATCTTCTTCTGTTCCTTATTCGGAGTTGAATAAGGAATAAGGAACTGGTTCCTTATTCCTTATTCGACTTTAACATATTTTCAAAATGTTTTGATAAAGATGCTTTATGCAATGATTTTAATGAGGTATAAGGAACGGGTTCATTATTCCTTGTTAGACTTGAATATTGTTTAAAAATATGTCGATGCGGATGTTTTATTCTATGATTTTGATGATTGATTTGTGAAATTTTTTTTTCTAGTTTTCTGATCAACCTTAATCTTATTTTAGATAAATCCTAATTCTGCTGTTCCTTATTAAGATTTGAATAAGGAATCAGGAACTAGTTCCCTATTCCTTATTCGAAAAAGGAATAAAGAACTGATTCCTTATTCCTTATTCGAAAAAGGAATAAGGAATAGGTTACTAATTGTATGTAAACATATCGAATAATGTGCGATTCCTAAATGTGTTGCCATATTGAAATACATGCGGACCACTGCAAAAGAGAATTCATCCATGATGGCGTGTGGCATTTTTGTATTCACTTGTGTATTCCGCTAGACAATTGTAGAATTATCATACTTTATTGATAAATGTCACGAATAACTTACGGCAGCAGACGGCATAGGCGTCCACTGGAGATATCTCGCAATAAGTTCCTGTCGGACATGGCTGACTTGTCGGTCCTCTTCCGCAGAAAATACCCGGTTCTTGTTGCCCAATTGGGCAATAATTCGCTGAAATATTAAACGAATTGCATGATCACTATGAAGTAGTTAAATGCTAAGACCTTATTTTTTCATAACTTTAGCGAGAATACTCATTGTAAATGGAAGTTGATTGCAATAAGCATTTTACTGTCAAACAATTCCTTATAGAATAACATGATCTTGCACGTATTAGTGATATATTTTATCGAGTCAATTCATTTACAGAACGTTTTGTCTCATTTACATCAAAAACTCTGATAATTTACATAAAAGGGGAAGGGGACCTAAAAATGAACAATTTTGTAGTTCAGTGTTGCCAGAAGGCAGAAACCCAATTCCAAATATTTCAAGTTCTATCTGTTTCACTGATAACCAGTTGCCCAGCAATATTGAAGGTTAAATGACATACATTGAAGAAAATTAATGACTTACATCAATTTATATTTACCCCACCCAACAAAAATCACACCTTAAATATACTTATATGGGCCACCTTTATGGAGGTGCAGTTTACTTCAGAATTCGTACGATTTCTTAAAAGAAATCACTAACACACAGTGCAATCGCCGGAATTTCGAAAAAATGTTCATACGTTTAGATTTTTAACAAAATTTATCTTACGGAAGGGCCGAAAAGTTGCGATTGTCAAAAAATACATACAAAGCTACCAACTTGCTTAGTTTCGGGTAAAAAACCCAAAATACTGCTCATTTCCTACTGTCACTGATAAACCCAACACAAATAAACAAACAAATACAGAATTAACTGACTTATTACAGTTCATTATACATATATAGGCAGCTTCAGGAAGTATATTGCAGTTTATTGTTGCTTAAAATGCCCCATTCAGATATGATTTGCATGGACACAAAACTAAATTTGTCTTTAAATTTGAACATTTCTGCAGTTAAGGTAGAACAAAACTGGAGTAATTGTGCTATAAATATAAATATTTTAACCTAATGTTTATTTCTTAATGCCAATAATAGGCATTTCTATAACGCTACCGATTCCCTTAGCTCCCCTTTTTCCTAAGACATGAGATTGGTTCAAAATTATCCGTGACTTAAGGAGTCAACAAAATCTCTAAAATCTCTATATCAGCCTTTACGTATATCTTAAGATTAAAATTGAGCCGCGTTATGACAAAACCAACAAATGGGTTTGCGACCAGCATGGATCCAAACCAGCCTGCTGATCAGCTGATCAGGATCCATGCTGTTCGCTATCAGTTTCTCTACTTGTTATAGGGTTTGTAAGCGAACAGCAAGGATTCAGACGGCGCGGATGCGCAGGCTGGTCTGGATCCATGCTGGTCGCAAATGCATTATGTTGGTTTTGTCGTGACGCGGCTCAAATTTCCTTTGTGTATATTTTTATAGGCCAAGGAAAGATTATTTTCCCTTGAACTTGGACTTGCCGGCCCTATACATAGCCATTTCTTTTTTTTTCTATTACCAAACAATCATATCGGAATTCTACGTACATGTATTGATTTCTAATATTACAACCAAGACTAAATAACCTAATACATGTAGTAAACTATTTTTACGTCCGAATTTTGGATAAAAAGGGTTTTCCTCAAGACCATATAAAATCTGGAAAAATATCACTTTAAAGCCTCGTGAACGAAGACTATTTACAATTCCGAGCAATTTGCAATATAACTTTCAAATTTTGCATTTCGTTTTAGTATTCAAATGGTGTCGTATATTTTTCAGAACCGTCTAAAACTATAGTCTTTTGACTTTGATAGAATAAGTCACAATCACTTTTGTTGGCGACATAAATTTATATAAGTTATGTTTTTAACCGAAGTAAAGCACATTTTCTACCACTGCTGTAAAGCAACGAAGTTATAGTGTCCTTAATAAATATTTTGAACATTTTCCTTTGAATGACACGTGGCCGAGGTTTACATGTAATTATCCATTCGTATTGTAACATAAATATAAAAAGAGCCTTAGAAAAATATGATAAAAAAATAAGCGGAAAAATGCTTAAACTGGCAACTCACTTGCGTTGATGTTGTGCCCGCACAATATGAAAATAATTCCTAAAGTCAAAGACAATATTTTGTACGACTTTTCCATGTTTCAGTACGACAAACTTTCAACGTTATGGCGAATCAAGAAATGGGAAAACACTTTATCGCTAATTAAAATGATCAAAGCAACATATGGTATAAAAAAATTTAAACTGCGTCACCAAGAATCGCTTGAAGCTCAATAAAAACATGTACGTTTAAACGATATCGAGTGGTAAATATGTGAAAATAGAGTTACATATACATAATAATCAAGTCACGCAATATTCTCTTTTTTTGTAGACGTGCAAAGTAAAAAAAAGCAGCATCCGTGTAATTTATACATTATTCATTTTAGTTCGATTATTTATAAAGCTCCTAGGCTTTTGTCAGCACTGGAACCAACTAGAACTCAGCAGTAAGTGTCAAGTTCCCTGCTTAAGGAAACAACGGCTTGCCCTTAATCGGTTTTGACCATATGCGGTCAGCACCCGTTTTGAAAATTTTAAATGGCTTCTTAAGGGTAAACAGTGTATTTATTAATAGCATTAATACTGTGCACTTTGAATAGATGTTATTTCTTTAAAGTGACAAGACAACTTTTTATTATTTGACAAGCGTCATAATGATATTTATATTGGGTCCTTTTTTGTCGTTTGTGAAAAAATCACAGCCTTGCGAAAATGAATAAAGTTACGTACAGTAAAATCAGAACTTCTCCGAATATATCTATTCTTTTTGTCATACTGAATCGGCGAGTTTACCAATTGAATGCATTAGCCAACAGGAATTAGCGCTTGTAACTAAGAATTTACAAAGAAGAATTAGTACTTTTAAGTAAAAACAAACACAAAACAAAAATTAACAAACTATTGTATTTTAGAAAATTTGTAACTTTGTTGTGATTTTTATAAATAATAAGTTATTTGCCTTTATGTACAAGTATTTATACATGATATTGTTTTGGGAACAAGTATTAATGGCTATACTAACATCCGCCATGTCAAAAGAGTGGACTGCGTCTTTAAGCCTTGTTTATACATTCGACTTACTAAGCTATTCGACTGTTCTTGATATGATTAACACATTTTCCGAAAATCATTGCCCCTAAAGAAGCCAAAAGCGGTAGAATTGACAATGTTGCGGATTTCGTTTGAGTGAGCCTGTTTGTGGACATTTTTTTCAGGTTAATAACTTATATTGTTAACCTTATAACACATCGCAAAGCTCTCATATACATTTTCGCTGTCCATTTGTTGTATAATTTCAAAAAGAGACTAATCGACCATCGTCATGACGAGTAAATAGTCAGACAGGGAGACCAGTCCATCAAGTGTGTAATGATATATATTCAAATTGACTACGAGAAGATACAATTCTTGAGATTCTTTAAAAGTGTATAAAGACTCCAGACTACAGTCACCTTGGGAAAACAGCCTTTTAAGTCTGCTGCGTTTTGCAAGTTGTTGCTATCAGTGTAACTTGTTCCATTTTTAAAGCTTAATTTCAGATTTTTGCTGCCGTAATCGGAGCGAAAGCTCAGAATATACTACATAAAGATAAATATTCAATTAGAATTTCAAATTTTCACCTTTGAATATGATACTCAGCCATGGCAATGTTTTCACCAAAAACTTAATAAAATAAATTTAGTAAAATTTTAATCGGTGATGAGTCTTTGTCGTTGGGTAAAAGTGATAATTGCAAACTACGGTCCATGGACCCTAGCACCGGCTTATGATTAAGCAGAATTCCACATTGAAACATGAAAATGGTGAAATTTTTAATTTGGAGACATCTGTAGATGTGTTCATACGGCGGTTATAATGAAACCTACAATATGACATGTTTCTGCCATTCCATGAAAAGCAGTGTAGGGTCCAAAAGTAAAAGAATATTTGTGCCATAAACGAGAAAAAATGGGCAAAACTAAATAAAAAGGAATTTTGAAAGAGGATCAGGATTTATTTAGAATGTTTCTTTTCATGATTTCTTTTGTGTATTTTCTAACTTAAGAGTAGTATATGCGTCCCTTTAACGCCTCGACTGCACACATGCGGCAGCACGACTGCACACGTGCGGCGGCAAGACTGCACACGTGCGGCGGCCATTTTGTTTCCATATATAGTAATATATTTGCATATAAGCGATGCAAATATCGGTACATGTGCGGCGGTTATTCTATTGACTTATTTTCCAATCTCCCATCGATGCACAGGTCCTAGATAAATTATTTATATGGTATATGTGACATGAAATATACTTTTACCCGTTATTTCACACAAATGACCGCCATTTACATATAACGGAATAAGCCCACAAACCCAACAGTCATTTTGAGGTTCTAGTTTATTATCATAAAACTGACAAAAGTAATGATACAATAACTCTTCAATAGTCATATGGAAAAGACAGACAACCATCTTTCACTCTCTTATCAAATACAATTTTATACCGTTTTGTTGGGTCAGTGTTAAAAATTTAGCTTGATCACTGTCTTTACATATTTTATGGTAATCTGTCACCTCTACAATTTCATTTGACACGCGATGGTCTGTTTACATCCTTCACACATTGTTTAATTTTTTCCTTAAATCGAATATTATTTTGCCTGTTTGAAGTAAGTGTTAACATCTCGGCTCCTCGCTACTAAATGCAGAAAACTGATTTTTTTTTTCAATTGCGTTTATTTAAGGTCGCCGCCGGAAAGCCCATATGGGCGACCGTACACTCAAGTCGGGTCATCCTAGAGCGCCGAGATTTTTCGTCGATTTTTTTCCAGCTTTATTGGTGGAGGAAGAACCCAGGTGCCCCTCCGGGCATTATTTCAGGCACGAGCGGGCACCTTGGTAGAACCACCGACCTTCCGTAAGCCAGCTGGATGGCTTCCTCACATGAAAGATTTCGACCCGAGTGAGGATCGAACCTACAGTGGTGAGGAACCTGTGAGATTTTCCGATAATTATTTGAAGTGCACTGACCTAATAGAGAACAACGGACA